TTCTTACCCCAGCGAATAATTCGCCCGTTCTTACCCCAGCGAATAATTCGTTCGTTTATCTATTAATTGTAGTTATTTTATGTATCTTATTAGTACACGACCCCACAAGCTTGTTAGCTTTGACGTCTTTTATCGTATATAAATAAAGGTTGTATGTATGTATGTATGTCCGTAGGCGAATTCACAACAACCACAGGAACGAGAGCTCTTCTTCGTTCGTCCATGCTTTCCACATAGCTTATATGTATTTCTCGACAGACCAAAGAAACACAAGTAAAACCCTTCACTGTAACGGCAAAATTCTCCTTTGAAACGCATTGAATATAAACTAACTTGGCACTCTTAAAAACAGAAGCCACGGAATCCAGACAAGTGTGAAAGCACGCCATGGCTTCATCCCGAGGGCGTGGAATGAATGATGACGTCACGTACGCAGAGATAATATCTAAACCAGATGCATCATGGAATACTATTCGATCGTCGTCTGGCCGGAAGTTATAAACTTCGGTGGCATTTTCTCGATATAATTAAATCAAGTCATAACATCTACATCTACTTCGACATTTGTAATTTGCACAAGAATTAACCCGTCGCCTGGAGTCTCCGCATATAATGGCTTATTAGCACCGCTTTTGAAAAGTTAACGAGAAAAGCAGTCAGACGACACAAATTGCCGCAACCGTTTATTAGAATCTTGGTCGAGACATGGTCGAGACGGTATTGTAATATGGCAACCGCGATGGCATCCCTATCAAATGGGAATGGTAGTGAAATCGAAATTGTGCCTTCTGCTGAGAGGCAACACGGTAAATTTCGACGATGTGTCCGATCGCCGCGAAAGCAACTAGTGATTGTCGCCGTCGTCACAGCCCTATTGGCGGTAGTGGTCGGGTTTTTGATCGGCTATTTCGTTCGTAAGTCGAAGGGCTCTGTATGCTCCATTAGCGCCAGCGAGGAGGACGTGCACGATAAGTTTGAAGACAGGGTTAGTGCAGCGGAGCTGGAAAAAGAGTTCAGGTAAATAAATGAAACATATAGGTCTGATTTGACGAGTTACAAAGATCCAGATTGAGATTGAGTTGGGCACTTTTGGTAGTAGCCTGCAAGCGAGTTCTGCAAGATCTGTCACGAGTACGGGGTAGGGGGGGAAGGGATTATCCGCAGGCACTTAATCCTAGCCCTAACTCTAACCCCTTTAGATCTTTCAAGGCAATCACAGTGCATTGCAGATGTGCTCTAAAGTTAATGATGTAACCGGTGTTTGTTATGAATATAATTAGCTGGCAGCTCTAATATGTTTCTAAAGCTTAAGCTTCTCCTCTCCAGTGCGATATACATACATACATCCCCTTAATTCACCCCGGATTTACAAGAGTAGTCTCCGCGACAGATAGATAGATACTAACAACTGGCTTCACTACAACCATAGCTAGCCATCGATAGCAAAGCCGCCACTCTTAAAGAGAAACTGAACAACAAGGTCGGAAAATAGTAAGAGCTGTCAAAACGTCAAGGCGGCTGTCAAAGTGCGTGATATGATCCAATTCAAAGACAAAACCGCCATTTCCGGCGTTGTAAAATGACAGTATAATAATTAGCCGAATGGAGTTCCTAACAAGACAACTTGAGACCTTTAATTTGCGTTACTATATTTTTTTTACGGTTAACGGTTAAATTTTAAGCATTTTTACGCCCACCATTAAATTTTTGGCTCTTTTACGGCTAACGGTTAAACCCCAATGAGATCCTCTGGTAAGCACCATTTTCCTTTTGCGCTCAGCTACCCCAAGCTACGGAAGCTTCAAAGGGAAATCCACTTATTGAAAATCAGTATTTTTTTTTTTGAAAACCCTGGGGTGGATCATGATGCCAGCTGCTGTAGAAATGGATATATCACCAGAAACGGAAAACAAAGAAACAATCAGACTCCCAACACTTGTTAATAAGTGGATATCCGTTTGAAGCTGCCGTAGGATTGTGTATATTTCTGTAAACAAAAGGACGCTGCTTTTACGACGGCAGTCGTCAATGTACCTTTTCGGCGACACGACGGCCATTTCGAATTCTATTTTTTCAAATAGCTATTATGGCATGCTCAGGGGGGCAAATTAGTGTGTATTTGCCCCCTAAGCATTCCATAATAGCTACAAAATGGCCGCCGTATCGCCGAAAAGGTCAATTACATTTTGTGGAATGATGTTCAAGCTCCATGTTATTCACGCAAGCTCTTTTCAAAAATAGCCAAATTAAGACTGTGTTATACACTATTAAGCTTTCAGGTTAAATTAATTAACCTGAAAGCTTCATAGTGTATAACATAGTCTTAATTTGGCTATTTTGAAAAATGTCATAGGTTGGGCTTGTTTTCTTAGTTCCTTCCCCTCTCCTCCCGGCCGAAACAGAGTTGGGACGCTTGTCCCCCAATTTTTCAGTCCGGAGTAACGGTGACTGCATTGGCCAATGACGGCCTTTAAAGATCTTTGAAGAAAGATGAGTTGTACAAATGCAGTCATAGAAGAAGTTGGCTTTCTGCCAAATTCCCTTCGAGTTTTCAGTCAGGCATCACGCTTTAATCACGCTTTAATTAATGTGGAGAATAGCTCACTTCAAAAATAGGTAATGGCTTGGTGATAATGAAAACACGGAATCGCTCTGTGAATGTTTTCGTGGAGGATGTAAATGCGTGAACAAAATCTACGTCACGTGATTGGCTATTTCGAGACCAGGAGTGATCTAAAAATAACTGGCGAGTTATTACCTTGGATTAAAAGGCCTTGTGATGGATTTACTCTTTAGCCCTTTATCTCCACCTGGTTGTTATTAATTTATGAAAATTATTGCCCCCAAAAAGGTATTTTACGTCGAAGCCGCACGTTACTGGCTCGGAAAGACAGGGCACTCTTATCAATCACATCGCTACAAAATGGCGTGAGTACGGTTTTGATGACGTGGAAATACCGGAGTACCAAGTGCTACTCTCATTGCCGCAGGAAGACCAACCAAACACGGTTGAAGTAATCAACAATGGAGTTGTCGAGTACAGGATGATTGGAAAGATCAACGTAAGACAGGAACCCATCATTAGGAGCGCGCAACTTCTATAGTGCTAAGCCTATGTCACGGCATTTTTTACAGACCGGTCCATTTTTAGGTTTCTTTTCCGGCGAAATAGGTCAGTTCCGTTCTATATGAGCGCGCATCGGTAAGGAAAAAAATGGAGGCCTCAGGTTGTTTTTCTTTTTAATCTTCCGGTGAAGTGATGACGTCAGTTAAAAATTAAGTCCCTGCTTGTGATTGGTCACCGAGGTTCCTGCGGGGGCTCTGAATTCGCGGCAAATTCAAGCTAAAAGTAGATCGGTCTGTGAAAAAGCCGTGACAGGAATATAACAGTTGAATGCTCCTAGTAATGGGCTCCTGCGTAAGTTTAAAATGATAAATTTATCCTATTAAGCCTGGAGTGCCCACGCTGTTTCAAATGGACCCAATTTAACCTATATTGGCAATACTGTAACTTTTGCTAGAAATTATGAGAGAATTTAATTATGGTGTCCCAATTCTTTTGGTTGTTGGTTTCCAAAGTTAACATGCTTACAATGGGTGTTTTATCGAAATTCGGTTTTCTAAGAATTTCTTTTTAAGTTTCGATTTATGTTTCCGTAAGATTTTGGATGTTACAAATAACAGCTCTTTTATCTTCATATTTCTTTCTTGATTTATTTTTTCGATTTGATGTAGGAGCTTTTTTGTTAACCAAGTGGCAATGCATTTTTTTTGAAACACGTTTTTTCCATTTGTTAGGTCAGCACAGAAGACGAATCAAAAAGTTCGTTCCAGTATTTTCCGTTTCTCGCGTATGCTCCGCCAGGGGTGGTCGAAGGAGAACTGGTTTTCTGCAATGCAGGATCAGAGAGTGATTTGTGTTGGATAGCTTAAACATCACTGTCAAAGATAGGATTGTACTATTGAAAGGTCAACACGCCTCTGTGAGTATTAGTAAACTTATTAAATACTAATTAACAATTAGACCCGTAGCCCGCAAGGGCTACGGGTCAATAGCCCATGAGGC